TAAAATATGTATGTGTGTACACTCATCTTTTATAGAATAAAGAGCGGCACACTCGTTGAAATCGCAGTCTACAGTTCATAAGCTAAACTTATTTATGTGCATACTAACTGGGAGAGCGATACACATGCGTCATACACATACAGTTGCGTTAATGCATGCATGCATATGCGCAATATATATTACGTATCGTGTATGCGTGCATAGCGTCGAGTCTAATCATACGTATAAAGCAGGGACGGATCGACTAGACGTTTGTATATTTTTGTATATTAGACTATATTAGACAATTTATAGATTATCCCAGTGATTTTAACACAGAGAGAGAGAGAGAGACCATCTTGGAAAATAATATGGATAAGAAACTAGTAGCACTGTGGTAGTGATGATTTCTCATCAATTATCTCGTTACGTTTGAATCGATAATTAAAATGATTGATAATTTGCGAACTTTCATAATGAAGTTTACATTTTGTTTTGATAATAATAATAATAATAATAATAATGATAATAATATGCATTTATATTTCTCCTACAATCGGAAACGTTAGCTCTCTTGAGGTATCAAATATCGGATGGGCTCCAATCCTAAAATTTAATTCATAAAGCTGGCATTTCTAATTAGACAGCATATAGGTTAAGAGCTACACGGTTCGGTTAAGTCGCAAGATAGCCCGTGTCCGCGAGAACGTGCCAACACGTTCATAGAAGTATGCCTTCTCCGTAGGCGGTCGTGCGATGGCGCCTACTCATACGCGCATACCTACCTACCTGCAGCCCCCAAACGACTAACCTCACAAGGCGGAACCAACACGGATCACGAAACTCTCGTTTCAACGAGATTCTTTCGTCCGTGCGTGAGAGAGAGAGAGAGAGAGAGAGAGAGAGAGAGGAGGGGAGGGAGGGAGAAAGAGACAAATAGAGAAACAGAGAAAGAGATAAAAGGAAGAGGCGGTTAAGGAGACGATCGGTCCTGGAACGAAGACGTTCGTGAGAGGCGTTTCCGCTTTACCGCCCGTCTCGCATAGCTCCCGCTACTCTATAGACTGCGAGCCGTCTCTCGCGCCGTTCCCCATCGCTCAAACGATGACAAGTGATGCTGACTGATGTTCGCCGTATAAGCGCGTGCCCATCCACCGCCGCCGCCACCACCACCACCAATCTTCATCTACCATCCGCAGAATCGCTCCATCCTCTACGGGGCGAGCGAGCGAGCCAGTGAGCGCGTTCGCGCGAAGCGCTCATAATAGAGCGTGATGGAAAAAGGTGACGGCTACACCCAGCCGCCGGAGTCTGTTGCGGCGCCGTTTCCGAAACGGAGACAGACCAGAGAGAGAGAGAGAGAGACATTATTAATTTCAGAACGGGGTGGAAAGAGCCGCGCTCGCGCGCTCGCGAGACAAGTACGGATAACGACGGTGACTTAAATGCGCAATGGAAAACAGCGCGCCACGAATGACACGTGAAAATAAGAGCGACGAGCGGCATTTTTAGCCGTGCACGATCACCGCGCGCAGTATCCGAGTAAACAAACTGATGTTTTATGCAGCGTGTCGCGGACACGTTGCATTCTATCGCGAGGCGTGACAGATCTGTCCCGTATCCGCGGATCTAACGATATAAAGAACTCCCGTCGCGTGTCTGAGCGAACGAAAAAAGCCAACGGAACGAATGTTTGCCGGATCGTTTAGAATTTATACGTGAAATATTATTGTACCTTTTATTTTACATCCTTAGATGAAAATTGCAACATTTCTCGGAGAAGTGTCTTTGTCGGTCTAATAATCCGCGAGCCCTCCGCGAAAAATCTCACGTGTAACATTTTCTTTTATGTAATAAATCAGACCTCGGTGAGATATCTACGGTAATCTACGGAGAATAATGGAGATAGTGGCAAACGAGCTCACGTATTTAGGCATTTACTTTTTACGCGGTGCTCTCGCGAGAGACAAGATAAGGAAAATTTTCTTCTGATTTAAAACTTGGAAGCAATCTCGGAAAGTGCAATTTCTTCGGAAGGAATTGCAGCTATTAGCGGAGGAACTTGTACAAAAGTTCTGCCGTTTAGATTTAATTCCCGCTAGCAGTATATCGCATTTATCGGCGGTAACTGCGCAACTTTTAACTCGTCTCGCTCATACGAAATTGACGAAGAGCGCTGAGCTGACCGGTGGCTGCACCGTGCTGGTGACGTAAATCAGTGCGGCAACAGTATTTTTTTCGCGTGTAAGAATGTCGGTAAACGGGTGTAGCATAAAAATGCGTGAGAGAGAGAGAGAGGGAGGGGGAAGGAGGAGAGGAGGGAGAGAGAGAGAGAGAGAGAGAGAGAGAGAGAGAGAGAGAGAGAGAGAGAGAGAGAGAGAGAGAGAGAGAGAGAGAGAGAGAGAGAGAGAGAGAGAGAGAGAGAGAGAGAGAG